GGAGCTGTCCAACTTCTACGGTCTCTCTGCCTGTTTCTATGCTAGTATCTGATCTCCAGGGATAACAAAATGCATTCTTATTAATAAAAATGGAAATTATTATTCAGTTAAGGCCAAACTAACTGAATTTTCAAAAAGGCTGTATAGGGGTTCTCTCTTTTTTTTGATACATTCTTAAGATGAGTCAGGAAGGCGAAACGGATGAAGAGCCAACGGAATACTTGAAATATAAGCAGAAAAGTCAAGTTTGGGGACCCTTAATTAAAACCCCATCTCCACCCTGGAGTATATTATTTGCCAATCATCATCTTCTAGTAAGTCGCCGTTTTCCTGGGTTTTTCTCTCTCTCTCCGCTCTTTCAAAATTAAGAACTGGCGGTCTTTGGAAAAGGGGGCCACGCTGGCTCTCTGGTTAATGCAGTTTTAATTTGGTCTCTCTTTGCCTGTGCTTTAAGCGTCTCTCGGCTCCTACCAACACAATGAGGAATGGAAAATTGCCTCTTGCCCATTAGAGCGACTCTGTATTATTTATACATGTCTATTATTTATAACCAATTACACGCCATACACCGGGATTTCAAAAGAAAAACAAGCAAATGTCAAGGTTGGGAGCGGAGACTGGTTAACAACATTAAATGTCGGGGAAAAAAAGCACTGAAAGGGAAAGGCAGAAATCAACAGACGCCCCGTCAAGGCTGAATTGACCCCCCGGAGAAGCCTTCAGAGTCATATTATTCATCTCTTCCCAGGGTGTTAAAAATAGAAGGTCTCAATAGCAGCCCCCTTTCCTAAGAGGATTTGTTAAGTACACAGACAACAGATTAATCAAATTGACAAAAGGAAAGATTGCATGGAGCCAGTGCCTTATCTCCTGAAGGAAGGGAGGGCTGTCACCCTAGTGAAGAATCAATACCGCCTCGTTAGAGAAACTCAAGCATGATGGCGGTTGACGCGCTGGGTTTCGGTGTGTGTTTTTGTTTTATAATGTCCGTAGCGGACTTTGGCAGAGATGCTAGTTTCTTCCGAGACAATCCAGAAACAGAAGAAGGCATCAGATGTTGCAGAGAATGCAAGAGGCCAAATGGATAGGTTTGTGTTGTGGCCCAGCAGGTGCCGTTGGAGCTGCCACCAGACTCCGACAGCGAGGGGCCCTCTGAGTTGGCTCTGGA